AGATCATCAGATTTTATGACCAAGATTTATTCTTATTTTTTTCACTGAACACTATTCGCACCGGAACTCATCCCTATGTGCGTGTGTGTGTGTATACATACACACGCACATATGGATGCGGAATCCATCCCTATGTGCGTGTATATACACACACACATAAGGATGGGTTCCTGTGAGAATGGTTCTTAGTTCAAAAAATAAGAATATATTTTAGCCATAAGATCTGATAATCCAGCGGCAAAAAAGAAACATAGATGTTACATTAGTTAAATAGTATATTTAACATTTTATCTCCCATCTACATCACGTGGAACCCATCACTCACTTACTATCTCTCACATCATGTGTGCACCACCACAACCACTCAACCAGTCCCACTACCTCTATCTCCTCCCCCTCATCTCCAATGATCAGCAAACAGCAAAAAACCATGGATAAACAGTTAATCATAAAAATTCATCACTGCATCTCTATCAGCGCCTCCGTAGTCCACTCCGGATCCACCGTCCACGCCCACCACGAGGTGGTCCGGTCCACCTGCGTTGCCACCTTATACCCCGACCATGCTTCTCCACCATCCAGGCGGCGTCGTTGGCGCAATCTGCACCGCCAAGGACGCCGTCCTCTTCGACTCCCTCATTTATTTTACATCATCTGAACAGTGAAGCTCTACCTCCGGGCAATACTCAAGTTTCTGTTTGGTGAAAACTGGGGTTCGAGCTCCGCAATTAATGGCGAATTGAAAAAAATAACACTGGAGAAGCAGCGGCCTGAGTCTTCAGCGGACAGGGAAGGGGGTGGCAGCCTTGTAAGAGGAGGTCCGTGGCCAACAACGGCAGAAAGGCATGTCGAAGGCAGAAAAATTTAACTTTTGGAATGGAGGACTTCCCTTTGAAAGTTTGATAAGTCCGAGGGACTTAGTTATAATTTTAGAAATTTTAATGTATTGCAGTTTAGTTTGTGGGTCAACTTTGTAATTTAAATGAAAAAAACAAAGTTGAGGTCTAAGAAAATTATCCTAATAAATTATCAATGTTTTACTACTAATGCCTCCAAGATACAACAACGTCTACTTACGTATAGTAGTGATCAAATACATGATCTTATGGTGAAAATTGTTATTGTTTCAATACTCTCAAGGATGAGATGAACACAAAGAATGATATGACATTCATTGGGTATTTATAGATGTGTCGAAACGTTATTGAGCCTTTATCTGTTTAAAGGCACCTTTCAGATATGCCCATTGCTGAAAGAAGTGATGCAAATAAGGTCAGCAGCCTTTTGGCACCAGTAGGGTGCGTCCAGGTCGCAGACTTGTCGTGCCAGGCTCCCCCGGTGGGTAAAATAAATTGCTTCTTACAAACTTTTGAGGTATGTAAACTCAATTTTGAGTTACAAAAACTCATATTTTGTACAAATCCAACATATAACTAATTTCTCATTCACCCTAGAATAAATTTGATAAATCTTCCATTTTCAAAAAATAGAACAGCAAACCTAATTTTTGTAACAATTATATGGCGTCAAAGGCAAAGATATCTTAATTGTTTTTTATGAATAATATTAATTGTTTTTTTTATTGTTTTTTTTTTCGAAATGATAGGAAGTGCTTATATTCACAACAAAAATCGAGAGGAGTAAACAGCTATTCAGTCGATATACAGCCAATGGCCGAATAAGCTGAACAGCTGACTCTTGTAGAGAGGTCTACACGTACACACTGACGGCAGCCTAGAGTCAACCTACAACACAACAACTAAAGAAAAAACTCCCAATAGGAGAAGAAACCAAAAGTTCCCAACAGGAGGATACAATAATATTAATTGTTGTTACTCGTAGGAAAGATGATGAAAAATCATTGGATGCCGAGAAAATAATATTACACTTGATCCTTTCAATATTGTGACGCATACATGTGGTCTCATGAAAGAGTAGCAAAATATCCGTAGTACACAGAACCGGCATTGATCCCAAAACACCTGCATATATATAAGAATTCATGAAATAAGTAAATTATACATAATTCAAATGAGGCAGCTGCTTTGTTGATCATCATGATGCTGAATATTAACGAACATGTCATCGTTAATGAGTGAATTCAAGAAGGACGAAAATGCGTCATCCGGGCAACAATTATTTATCAAGCCATCATCACAATCAGCTCCATCTTCATTAACATTCATTACTAATTTTCCTTCATCAACACTTGTCGAATTCTTTTCCAGCTTCATGCCATTCTTATGATGACTAGATTCACGATTGTCGCTACTCATAATTAATCCAGCATCTCCGTGTTCAACGTTAATCCCATTTTCGTTCAATAATTGGCCGTGATTTTGTTTGTTATTTAGAGGCTTGTGAGTTTTGGGGTCAATCCCTCGGCTCATCAATTTCTTGCTCAAATGAGTGTTCCAATAGTTCTTTATCTCATTGTCCGTACGGCCTGGAATTCGTCCAGCTATTAAAGACCATCTGCATATATAATAAGAAAAAAGAGATCATATATTTGAGAGCAAATAATTAACTACTTAACTCATAAACAAGCATAAAAGAAAGACGGGCATTGCAAAAGAAAAAAAGCAGAAAAATTAAATTAGTGAATGAACTTGGGCAAGCAAATTAAATTGTGAACGTCAAACTTAAAAAATTAAAACGTTCTTAAAAAAAGGTAGATAAATGTACTAGTTGCATATTAAGCCATATATGGAAATAATATGGATCAGATAAGGCAGAAATAAATTTTATTTTGGTCATTAAAGCTTGAGATTTATTTAATTAGTCTTTTAAGGTCCAAAATAAACGGGAAAGGCAATAAAAATAAGAAGATGAATAAATCCTGATAAAAAAATTGAATAAAAATAGAGGTGAATATGTGGGTACCGGTTGCCTAAGAGACGGTGAAGGCGGAGAATGAGATCTTCCTCATCGGAGGTGATGTGGCCGCGCTTGACGGAGGGCCGGAGATAATTCATCCACCGGAGGCGGCAGCTCTTCCCGCACCGCCGTAGCCCCGCCTTGTTGGGCAGCGTCCGCCACCGCCCCTCTCCCTCCCTCATTATGTATCCCGCCAGTATCTCGTCCTCCTCCGCCGTCCACGGGCCCCTCTTCACGCCGCCTTCTCTTTTCGGGCTTCTCATTTTTACTCTTAATTAATTTTAATTAATTTTCTTCTCTCTCTCTCTGGGTTTTGAATTTTGATGTAATGCGTGTAATCATTAAGGTGGTATTTATTGGACTTCAAGAGTTATTACTTTTCCCAAAAACATATTAAAAAAAAAAAAATCATTTCATATTTGATAGTTCTATCTGTAGCCCGGATGAATAATACATTACGTATTCAATTGCAATCAATGAATAATACGTTAACAGGCTGTATATAGGCACAGCTAATTCTAAATTGCCCTAAATATTGATTTTAAATTCTTTATAAAAAAAAATTATTCAATACTACATTTCAAAGTGAATCACCAAAATATATAAATCAATGCTGAAATGGAGTTTTACACGGAAATATACATATATATTGAAAAGGGGTCTCATGCGAGCACTAATTTCTCACCTGTTTATCTATATTATATTTTTGTGTGAATGTTAATGTCGCATTTGCTAAAATTGTAAAGACTTCAAAAGTGGAAATATGGCGTATTTAAAGGTGATTGTGTTATATTTGACCGTGAATTGAAGAACCTCAACTGCCGATTGCTGTACTAATGCTCCAAGGGATATCCTAAAACAGAAAAAGTGGAGCTGCCATGAAATTTCTCAAACAATTTTGTTGTTTTTCTAGTTTTGCAATTTATGAGTTGGGAGAAAGGTGGCCATATATCTCCTTACATGNCATAGCGTAGACCATCAATATTACAAGATCAAATTATCAATTTTAACGATTATTCATCAAGATTTGGTTCAAAACGATTAAAAAAAAACTAAAACAGACTGCTAGATTGTAAAAATATTGGCATTTGTTTCAGGTGCATTTCTCTATCCATGCCTATGGTGTGACAACTAAAATCCAGTGGACCACCTTAATGAATGATGTATATAATGCACGGAATTAATTGTAAATCGCCAACAAAACTTCCCATAGTGGCAATATTGCATTTACTGCATAATTACAGCATAATTACAGGTAATTACACTAACAACACCAAGACTAGATGAGCTAAGGACGAATAACAAGCCTAAAGCTGCCCTTCACATTTAACTTGAAGGATTTTCAAACTAGGGTCAAATGCTAATCAAGTTTAACAAACTAATAAAATGAATTTTCAAACTTAAGCAAGGGAAAACAATGATTAAAGAAGACTCCTTCACTGGTGCATGTCTTTCAATTGATCGATAAGCATCTTATCATTTCTTCACGGAAATCATCAACAAAGAGGAAATGTAGTTCTGCAAATGCAAATACTAATAAAAAAGATGAACATGTTAAAAATCGAGCATACAGTTCAAGTCATTAGTACCTTAGATTATTGAGTCAGACGGGCATTGTCTGCAGCCTAATGTGTTTGTACTTCTGATCCCTATTAAAGTATCTAGAAGCTTCTGTCAAGCCTTTTGACAAAAGCTGTTCAAGAGCATCAACACCTTCTACCAATGCACCATCAATCTGCCATGCAAAACGAAGTGCATCAATATATTATTCGGTATGCCTTTTATTAGCTATGCAGCCAAAAATTCGCTTTTCTTTTCTTCCACCCGTTTTTTTTCCAAAACCATGTTTCATTAGTTAAGAGAATCAAAAGGCACAAAAAGAAAACAAAAAGTGAGAAGAAAAAAAGACAAAATTGCAATTTTAGTCCTGTTGGTTTAACGCCATAGCATTTTTAGTCCCAAGATTTGACTTTTTGTCTTTTGATCATGTAATTTAGTATTTTGCTGCAATTTCAGACCTTTGGGACTGAAATTGCAACAAAATTTAAAATTACAGGACTTAAATTGCTAATCAAAAATCCATCCAAAAGTTTTTTTATTAGCAATTTAAGTCCTGTAATTTTAAATTTTGTTGCATTTTCAGGCCCAAAGAACTGAAATTGCATTGAATTTTAAAATCATAGGACCAAATAGCAAAAATGTTCAATTCTTAGGACTAAAAAACGCCACTGGATCAAACCAACAGAACTAAAATTGTAATTTTGCCAGAAAATAAAGGACTTGGCATTTTATTTCAAGAAACTTTAAGCAGGGGTATACCCGCTCTCGAGCACTGGCATTGAACTTTTGGAGTAAAAATGCTTTCGGATCCATTTGACCAGCCGGCCTCCCTATACCTAATACACGATTTTCATTAGGTCTCATCATTTATAGGAAATTGATGGTCATAAGGCAGCAAAGTTTTAGACTTGATGATTCAATCTTTACCAATTCTTAGCCTAGGAAATTCTTTATTCCCCCGAAAATGATGGATCACGCTTTTAAGCCTGGCAAAAATTTATTAAAGCACAATTTCTATGGGATATAAACTTCAACCAGCAAAAGAACTAGTGAATTTACGACTCTTCCAGCAAAAGTAGCATATACATTAAATAATTCTCCACAACAATTTTACTAGAGAATGACAACTTCATGCATAATTGCTATGACAAATAATTTGCTACACTATAAGGAGTACCAGGATAATAATAGACGGATTTGAGTGATGACAGTTGATTGATAAACTATCCGTAGTCACTCAAAGAAAGTATATTTTCATGCCTTCTCATGTAACAAATATATGAGCTACAATTATTCACACGTAAGTTCCAGATTTTTCAGACCCTAAATACTCTGATATTCTATAGTGTACAAAAATATTAAGCTTCACAGACCCACGTATAGTTTTCAGTTCTATCAACACTCATTTAATTTCAATGTTCCAAATAAAGATTTTTCTTACAACTTGAACAAGTATTTGGGTTTATTAGGTCTAAATATCTTAAAATATGATCATATGTTGCCTTCTCTGATATTTTCGCAAAATGCTTACTAACATTTCAGAAGACATCAACTATATCTCACACAAAGTACAATTGGCTCAACAGTACATATCAATCAAAAGCAGATGGTCTTGGAACTTCAGCAGTTAGGCAGCATAAAAGATGGAGGAACAAGAAATAAGTAGCCAGGTAGATCGGACATAAACTTTCCAGCCTCTACACTAAAAGAATTTCACGTAATGTGGATTAGTCAAACAACGAGAGACTGCATAAAAAAATGCCACATAAATGGATAAATTCCCATTCAAAATTACATGTGGCCATATGATAATTAAAAGCCAACTTTGTTGGGCGCATGATATATACATTAATTCAATTTTGATAATCGTTACATTCTACAAACTCCAGGCATAAATTTCTGGTGTTCTTACCCGTTGTGACTTCCGTGATTTCCCAAAGAATTAAGACGAAGAACTCCACAAGGTAAATCCATGTCATCATGAACCTACAACAAAATCTCATCAAGCATTACAGCCAATTAGAAAATATGAAGAACCAATTAGTCCATGAGACAATACCACTAGCACTCTATTAAGAGGAAGCTTATAATAAGCCGCAAGGGGACCAATCTGCAAGATTTAAAAAAAATAATAATAATAAAAAATAAAAAATAAAAAAAAAGAGCTTCAGTCACAAATACACAACAGATATGGATATATCACTCATAAATTTTAAATAATACTTACAAATTGACCACTCAAATTCATGTAAGTCTGAGGCTTTGCCAAGAAAACTGGAACGCCATTGACCAGACCTGAAGGAGATACAAACAAACATGGCTCAATATAGGAACCAACTGATGAAGTTCTCAGCGCAAGTCATGTGAGCACATTGCAAATATAAGCAACATGCCTTTTCCAAATATAGCTTTGCAGTGAACAGATTCCATTGAAATCCCTTGTGACCTTGCAAATGCATCTATCAACTCAAATCCCGCATTATGTCTGGTGCCCACAAATTTATCCCCTGGATTGCCCAAACCCACCAAAAGCCATGGCCGTGGAGAAGACAATGTAGCGGCTGCATAAAAACAGCGCTTGGGGAATATACTTCGAAGCATTTCCACTGTTCAGTTCTACAATGAATTTGAGGAACTAATCAGGATGAGAAGAAAAAGGATGGTTTCGGATTTGAAGCCAGCAGCTAATGCTGTTTTCCTGGTTTTCCTTTTATTTTAAACCAAATTCTTGGTTCAAGTGTCATTTAAAAGGCCTACATTGATGCTAAACAAGTTAAATGATGCTTTTCCCTCTCACTCCAACCAAATATTGCAGAATATGCTCACCCAAAAACAAAAACAAAAACAAAAACAAAACAAAAAAAAAAACAAAACAAGTCCAGCAATAAGCATGCCTAGAAAAATAGAAGCCCACCATAAGCAACTCCAAATTTGGTCAAATAGTACATACAAAATAAAGAAAATAGGTAAAATACATCAAAGAATCTACCAAAATCCCTATAGTAATATTCTTCAAAAAGTATACAGTTGTAAGAACCCCTTTCTTATTCTTAGGAAAAACGCTTATTTCCAAAAAAAATTTGAACTTTTCCGAAAACATTTAAACTTAGAAAACATTTCTTCGGGTACTTACTAAAAACTTTTATTCTCTCTTTCTTTCTTTCTTCCTTTCTTTCTTTTCTTTCTTAACCTAAGTCTCGCACTTAAGTTCTTAGGATTCACGTCCCGAAAACTTTCTTTCTTTTCAATTATGACAAAGCAGAGCATATGAATACTAAGTCTATAATTGAAAAGATTCAAATTTCAAACATCGATCTTGGTTTCAAACAAACAATCATAAATAAGTTCGAAACGGTCGCGAAAGCAAAATAAATAAACATTCTTTCTTTTGACAACCACTGTACCTCGTGTCTGACGCCAACCGCTTTACCTGAAAAGATAAATTGGGGGGGGTGAGCAAAACAACTAGCCCACCTGGAATCTATAATATACACTTATTATTCAGAATAATTAGCGGATAATATGATAACGACATGAAACATAAATCAACATAACATTTCGCCGTCTCATAGCATCATACTGCCTTTTCATCGGCTTTCGCCCTTGCGAGCGAAATATACCATGTAACCTACAGATACCATAATGATCACAATAATTATAAAGAATAAAACATAGTATAAACTTCCCCACCTTTTGACTTACTGTCCTTCGAAGAAACTAATGCTCGTGCGTCTGTGTGAGGGCTCGACTCCTCTTAACCTGAATTTTGATTATTAAGTCTTATTATTAGGGTTCTGATTAACAGGCAAAGAGCACAACAATTAAAGCAATTAATACCATATAAGGCAAGCAAATTTATCAGATAAAAGCAAATAATGTAGTCAAAGATAAGTTCACATAAAATTCTAACTTATCTTCTTGACTTTATTTTTGCTCAACTCGGTTTCCCGAATCAAATTCTAAGGCTCGGAATACTCATTTTTCTCTTGTCTGAACCGGCCGGTCAACCCTTGGTCAAAAACCGGTCCGGCTCGATGCGCTTAGGATTTAACACAGTCAAGACCAAGGCAAGAGTCCCCTTTTTCTTTCTCATTTTCTCATGAACGTCACAAGGTTTACAAACTGAGCACATAAGACATTTAATTGGTACAAAATAAGCATGTAAACACATAAATATAGCACAAATCAGAGGCAGCAACAATGTACAATATAGCACAACATCACAATTAATAAAGCCTTCTTTTCTTCGTTCTTTTCTCAAATCAACTTCATATACAAAGGCCCTTAAAAACTGAGATTAAGACCTTTGATAATATACATTTTTTCAGCTTGCCTATCACTTCATCAGAGTCCAGCAAAAACAGTTAAAAGAGGCCAAAGCAATCAATACAAAGTAGCATCAAATTCACTTTCTTTTTCGTGTATTTTCACCAAACTCAAAGACAAAACAAAAATCACACAACAACTTAAACTAAGGCACAAAAATGAACATATAGCAGGCTTAGCAGCAATTAAATCACCCCAAAAGACTCTGCAACATAAAGGCAACACAAGGTACAAAACAACATAAAAGTATGCCTCGTTTTTCCTTTTTTTTTTTCCTTCTCTTTTGAACAACACACAAGGCCACTTAAGAACAGCAATACAAGCTCTAAAATACACCTATAAAAATCACGTAAATACACATAAGATTCAGCAAAATTAGAAAATCAAACAAATCATACAAAACAATGATATAGCCTTCTTTTTCTTCCTTCTTTTCTCATTTGTAACGCCCCACTTTTATTTGCCGAAAATCAGAATAAATTTTTCAAATTTATTTCAAAACACCTGAGGCACTACTCATTTTCAAGACGAATTTCAATACTTCACAAATTTTTCAATAATCAATCAATCTCAATACTCAATCTTCGATCATCATTTCAGTTATCAATAATTCAGTCATCAATAATCAATACTGCAATCCAATACCCAAACCGGATTTCTGAAATTCATAAAATCTAGGAAGTACACTCCCTATCAATAATCCAATATTCAATATTCCAAAATGCAATAATATCAAAAGTAAGTTCAATAGGCGGAAGCAATAATCAAATAATTAGACCACCACTCGCGTCCCTCCTCCGTGCCCGCAACACTAACTTGCATCCATGAAGAGCAGGTGGGGATGAGCACAAGAGGAAACAGTAGTGCTCACCACTATGCAGTAAACGTTATTCACAATAATGAAACAGTAATCAATAATTAATCAATAGGGTATGGTCACAGCATGTATACGAATCAATTAATTATCCCAATCTCCCATCAATAATATCAATAATAGACTCGTGTGCACACCTACGTATAGACTACTGCCGACTATATATCGAAAGCCCACCGGTCTTACATCGCGTGTCCAGCCAGTAGGAGTAACACGCCAGCCAAGGCCTCACCTTGGTCTTACCAACGAGGGTCGTCCAGCACTGGGACCACTGGGACCTTTAACCCAGGTCTTACGGCTCACAATAATAAGGAGACTACCTAACGGGTACGTTCTATAGCCACGGGAATAACCGTTCGACGATCGGTACAACTCACATCGAAGGCTACATGTTCCACATGCATACTTGATAGTAACAACATTTAAAGCATAGCAATTTTTCGAATTAAACCCACAGCAAAAGCAATTAATTAAGTCATAGCAATTATCAGAGGATGATGGTGAACACACGCTCAAACAAGGGCGAGGGCTCGACTTCTCTTAATCTACAAATTAGGGGTTTGATTATTATTATTGGTCTTGACTGAGGTTGATTAACAAACAGATAGAACACACAAAGCAAATAGTTAAGCAGATAAGCTCAAACAACTTATTTTGCCCCTAAAATTAAAGCATCACCTCTGAAACTAAAGCATATTAATAGTATGGAAAAGTACAAAGAAGCCACGGCATAAGCAGAATTAAAGCATATTATACATCAGCTTCAAAATTTGGTTTTCTTTCTTCAAGCTCAGACCGTAAACACAGGTTTTAAAAGTGATTTTAGAAACTCTAGAGTACTTCACTTTCAACTTGCTAATACATATGAATAGAGGCTCAGCCAAAGAAAAGGAAAAAAAAAATCAAGGTACACGCAGATAAAACAAGCACATAGATACTCCTCCAATTCATCACGTTTAAACCCAAGTTAAGCATGCAATTTAGCTCTTTAAAACCGAAAATAAAGCTTTGAGAATGTACTCATTTCGGCATGCCAAACTCAGCCATAAATCACATAATTTCATCATGGAAATTGCATGAAAAGAGGGCTGCAAATTGAGGCCAATTAAGGTTTCACACAACATGAAATTCTTGTTTTTTTTTTTTTCCTTTCTTTCTTGAAATTTCAAACAATAACTAAAAAGGACATTAAAAGCTGGACATAAACCTTTGAAATTTCACATTAACAGCAATATACAAGCATGCTAAGAACACAGCAGCATAAATGCAAAACTTGCTAAACAACATAAGCATTTTCTTCTTTATTCTCTTACATTAAGCCACGCACATAATAGTCTTGGAATTGAAATTATTGCTCCGAATAATCATGCATAATCCCAGCAAAATTGCATAAAAGGCTCAACAATAGTGCTATACGCACAGCTCAACAAGAATCACATTTTGAATCTTTAATTCTTAGAAATACTAGTTATGAAGCAACCACTGCCAAGACACACAGAATTCAAACAAATCAAGCAAACTAACATCAACATTAAACGAAAGCACAAAGATTAATGGTGGAATTCGAAATTTACCCCACTACTCGAATACACACAGACTGCGGGAAAATGAACAGGATTTCGGACTCGGGCTCGACACGCTCGGTCTCGTTTTGGCCCCGCTGTTCGGGAGGGGCTGCTACTACTCACTCGCGTCTAGTCGGGAAGGGTCGACTACTAGCTGATTATCTCCCGGCTCGCTCTCGGCTATCAATTTTTCACGCACGGCCGCTGCTGCTGCTGTTCGGGCCTGAACGAAGGCCGACGGGGTGCCGCTGCTATGCTCGAAGGTCGCCTGCCTGAGAACGGTGCCCGCTCCTAGCCACGCACGACTGCTGGAAGTCGCCGACGAAAGGCTCGGCAGTTCACAGTGGCCGCGATGGTTGTCGGGGGTCGCGGATTCCGGCTTGCTGGTGCTCGCGACGGCGGATGTTGCTGCTCTACGGCTGGGATTCTCGCTATCTGATTACTAGTTCCGTCAGATGGTCGAAGGTCTGATGCCACCGTCGCCGGAATTTCGCTGCTCGGTCGTGGGTCTGCTGGAATTCCCGGTGGTCTCGTCGTGAACAGGACTCTTGGTGAGCGGCTATGGTGATTTCCGACTTAGGGTGACGGAATTCCTCGGAAAAAGACCGTCGCTGCTCACTGACCAACGAGCACGGACAGAAGGAGGCCGCTGCTGTTGAAGGTCGCCGACGAGAATTTCTCGACTGGTTCGTCGGCGGTTCTGCTGGACGAGGAAGGCCGCTGCTCGTCGATTTCTGGGGTTTAATGGCGTTCGAAGACTGGGGGCTTAAGGACGATTGGAAGTCTGCGCGATTTTGGGGAAGAATTTGATCGATATATGGGGGCGATTTGTAGAGTTCTTTGGTTCTATCGATTCTGATCCAGATGGCTGAGTCTTAAGAAGACGATGAGAGTCGATTGTGGGGAAAAATCTCACCAATAAATCGGAACAAAAAATCGCACGAGGGGAAAAAAAATGAGAATGAGGCTGCCGTTCCATCCTCAATGGGCTCATAAATTCCATTCTTTGAGCCAAAAAAATATTCTAATTCAATTTGGGCCGAATAGAATTCAATGGAAAATTGGGGTCTGAAGCTAATTAATCAATTGGGCTAAAAGGGTTGAAATTTATTAGCACATATAAGTCGAAAATAATTCGACTTGAGCCGAAACAAATTTATCCGAAAGGTCCGAAAATATTCCCGATAAATTGGGTCGATATAATAACGCGATAACAAGGACTTCCGATCGATACGATTAAACAATTGGCGATGGACAATACTAACATAGCGCTACTTATTAAATCAATTAGACGAGAACCTCCAATCCAATAATAATAAGACTAACTGAAAATATTGAGCAATAATACAATATAGACAATTAATTCAAATAATAATAATATAATATTAAAAAAATTCTAATAAACGAACGGGGCGTTACATCATTCTCATAGCATACATAAAGAGCCATATGAACTGAGGTTAAACCTCTGAAACGTAGTCACTTTTCACCCATATAAACATACTAAAAAGCCCACAACAAAGTCATAAAAACATCTAACATAAGGCCAAATTAGGCACCTCATTTATCTCTTTTCCTCAAACCCATACATACATGCTAAGGGCCTTATAAACTGAGATTAAAGCTCTAAAAACACTTCTCTTTCATCATGATAATAATCTCATAAGGCTCAGCAAGAGTGGCACAAAACAATGCTCAAAAATCATATGAACATATCTCATTTATTTCTTTCCTTTTCTCAATTACTTAAAACACATATCATGGCTTTAAAACTGAATTTAATAATCTGATAAGTCATGCATAACTCATCAAATTTTCGCATAACAGGTTATGCAACAAGGCAATACTCAGGGCTAACAAAATTCACATAAACTCCTCATAAAATCTCTTCAAATTTTCAGTCACTCCTAAGCATGCCATTTTCGATTTTTAAAACTAAGTTTAAGCTCATACTTTGCCCAAAAAGGGGTCTAAGGCTCACCAAAAGATACCTTCTCTCGGTGCTAAAAAAAATGGAGAAGAAGGCTCGGTTCTTAGGCTTGGCTTCGGTCTCGGTTGTTAGGTGTTCTCGGCCAAAGGTAAGGACTCGGCTCAAAGTTGTTCTGGTTCTTGCCCCTTTTTGGGAGGTCTCTCACTCCCAGGTCGCCTGAAGGAACTCGAAGCTCTTAAAGAGGTGATTGTTTATATATTCAACTAGTTTTTATTTAGTTTGTTTTTTAACTATAGTTAATTTTGAAAAAAATTGATATAATTAGTTGTTAGTGGATATATTAAAATAATATTTAAATAAAATAACTAAAGTTGATTTGATGTAAAGTAAGAGAAAAATGATTGGAAGTGATGGTCAGTTAAAATTATGTGAGTGGATGAATAGTGATTTGTATAAATGATTGGTTGATATTATTTAATTATATTGATAATATTGTAGATAGTGGAGTTGGGTTAAAGTTGAGTTAAATTTAAGTTTTGATTGATTTTTTTTAATTGAATTCATAAACAATCACCGCCTAACCAGCCTCCGGTCGCCTATACGCGCGACTGGGTTGCACTGCACTCGAGCGTGGCGTGCGGTAGAGTTTCGACGGCGCTTGGTTGCAAGGTGGGCTGAGGGAAATTTCTTGTGAGATTGCTGCAGATTTTGCTGAGATTCTGAAAATGGAGGAATGGAGGAGGTGGCTGTTATCTTGGTGGTTTAAAAATGGTGGAGAGGGGAAAGAGGCACGTTGGGGTGAGGCAGAAAGGATGGGGAAGTTGGTTGGTGGACTTGGTCTTCCCTTGAATTACTTACGGCTGATTTAAGAGGCTAAGGGGAAAGCTGCTTGAGGTATTTGGTAGTAGCTGCTAGATTTCCGAAATTTAGGGGCTGTAGTTGAGAAGCTAATTAGAGCATGTTTGCATACAAGAAATTTTAAAAAAAAATTCAACATTTTAACTCAATCACTTTTTTTAACTCAATTTTAACTCAATCCCACTATCATCATATTATCAATATAATTAAATAATATCAATCAATCATTCATACACACCACATCAACCTTAATTCACTATTCATCCACTCACATTATTTTAACTAATCATCACATCAAATCATCTCTCTCCTACTTTTCCATTAAATCAATTTTAATTATTTTATTTTAAATATTATTTTAATATATCTACTAACAACTAACCATATCATTTTTTTCAAAATTAACCAAACCAAACCAAAAAATCCAACAACACTAAAATTTTTTATATCCAAACATGCTCTAAAGACTTGGTCATGGCTTGGCTTTTGAATTTCAAACACTTAAAAGGACTAAGGGTGGCCGAGACATATAATATCCTTAGGCAAAAAATAATAACTTCTGGACTTTGAACACTTGGGCATAAAAATAAAAAATGGCCGATGAAATAAATACTTAGGCTTCGAAAATTGATTTGGGCCAAATCTTTCAAAATTCTTAGGCATGCTTTAACTTAGTAAACTTAGGAAAATACAATAAACAAGCAAACAAACAAATAAACGTATAAATAATTAGACAATTAAAACAATTAAAACAATTTAAGCAATTAAGCAAATAAAAAAATTAAGTAGACTAGGACATCTATTTTATTCGAATTTTTGGATTAAACGATTTAATTAAATAAGGTCGAGCTAAATAATGCAATGCAAATGTTCTACTGCTCTTATTCGTAAAACGGGGCATTACAATAGTGATGGTCAAATTCCAACCCGAATTAATTTGACCTACTGTCTCAAATATTAAACACAGTTGTATATTTGGCCCAAACATATAATTTCATATGAGTTACTTTTTATAAAAGACAAAAATATAAGATGGCTATCTGCAAGTTGTATATATTCTCATCAAAATATTGGAGGTATGACATATAACACATTTTGTAAGTCCACCCTGCCAAAAGAGGGATTTTGGCAGCCCGCAACATGGTCGGCCCGGTGATCCATTTTGAGTTGGGTTGGGGTACGGTTCAGTAACCGAAACAATTATGCAATTACCGAACTGTACAAAATTTTTCGGTAATATCCCTCCTGCATATTAATTCATTCAGAACGTGCTGAGCCTAAGTGGCAGGCTCGCATGCTTCGGAATCCTGGAAAAATTACATACTTTGTTATTAGGCTTGTGTAGATTTTCATTTACTTCCAATTCAAAAATAATTAGGTTCGGACTATCCATAAATATGTTGATTATTTATGGTCATGTATATATATATATATATATATATATATCTATATCTATATCTATATCTATATCTATATATATATAAAGAGGTTGTTTGGAAAATACAATAATAGAAAGTTTGAGCAAATAAATATAATGTTTGACTTATTATTAATGGAAAGTTCGAAAAAAACACATGTAAATCTTTAGAACAAAATCTGAATCCTATTTTTCGGTAACAAATTTGGAGATTCTTATGGCAAAATTTGAATCCCATTTTTTTCGTATCATATTTTATTTTATTACCAAAATTTAAATCATATCTTTTTTTGTAACAAATTTAGAGATTCTTAAGCAAAAAAAAATTATTTATGAAAACAATTCTAAATATAAATCAATTTAAAAACCGTGCAAATTGGATACAAATTTACGAAACAAATAGTTGTATAATTTCTAACCAATTATTTCAATCTTATTGAATAATATATCTTTCAAAAAAGTGTGTAAATTGGTTAAAACCACGTGCAATTTTTATTTTAAAATAAAACTGATATTTGGACGGGATGTACATTCAAAATTGTGCCCACATTTTTTGGTAACAAAAGCAGTTCATCTTTGATATTTAAAGTCACCTTATACAATTATTTAGGAAAATTTGCGTGCAACTTTTCAAAATTTAAATGCATCAATTGGTTGTGACAAATAATTGGTTTATAGGTTTGATGCTCACTGAAGAACAAATCAGGAACCTGGCCCTTGCTGAGTTTGAGAATTTATTGAGACGACGTGGGTCAAGTTTTCGTAATTACTCAACTATGTCATTTCTGGATAGGGAGAACATCAATTCAAGTTCGAATTGTCTAATTTTTGATGAATTGAATTATGATCAAAAGGCCCTCGCTGTGGAACACGATATGCTTCTTAAGAAAATGACAGCCGAACAGAGGAGTGTCTACTCAAGAATTATGTCCATTGTTGAATCCGGCCAAGGAGGGCTCTTTTTTGTATATGGTTATGGTGGAACTGGGAAGACAGACTTTATTTGCTGGTTTGAGATCCAAAGGCGACATAGTCTTATGTGTCGCATCCAGCGGAATAGCATCGCTTTTGTTGCCAGGTGGACGAACAACGCATTCTCGATTTGCTATACCATTGAATCCCCACCAGGAATCTCCTTGCAACATCAATCAGTCAAGCCTCTAGCGGAATTGATAATTCGTGTTTCTCTAATAATATGGGATGAAGCACCAATGATGCACAAGCATTGTTTCGAAGCTGTACAGACATCGCTGCAGGGTATTATGGGAGCCATTGATCCGTTGAACTTGAACAAACCATTTGCTGGGAAGCCGATTGTTTTTTGTGGAGATTTTCGACAAATCCTTCATGTCATTCCAAAGGGTAGCCGTCAGGACATAGTCAATGCTGTCATTAATGCTTTTGACATATGGAGAAGTTGTATTGTGCTTAGGCTTATGAAAAACATGCGCCTTCAGGGACTTGCTAATTCGGATGAACGTCATGAGCTTGCACGGTTTGCAGATTGGATAGCCAACATCGGAGATGGAACTATCGGGGGTCGAATGATGGATGTGCAGCTATTGACATACCCGAGGACATTTTGCTTCAGCCATCTGATGATCCTATTGCTCAGATCGTTGAAAGCACATATCCAATGTATAAAGAGACACCCGACGATCCAAGTTATTTGAAGAATAGGGCTATATTAGCGCCGACGTTGGATGTGGTCGAGTCTATCAATGAGTACATGACATCATTGAATTTGTTGGATGGTCGTATGTACTTGAGCTCTGACAGTACATGCAAATTGGATTATAATAATTATTTTTTGTCTTATCTACATACGCTTGAGTTTTTGAATAGTATCAAGTATTTCGGAATACCGAACCATAAGTTGTATTTGAAGATTGGAACTCCAGTCATGTTGTTGCGGAACATGGATCATTCTATGGGTTTTGTAATGAGACACAATTGTTATGACAAAACTATCCACTCACGTTCCTGAGTGTAAGATACTCACAGGAGATCATGCTGGTGATAATGTGTTGATTCCAAGAATGGTCATAACTCCTTCTGATGTTAGAATTCCTTTCAAGTTCCAGCGGCGACAGTTTCCCATTATGGTTTCTTACGCCATGACTATAAACAAGAGCCAGGGACAATCCTCATCTCATGTTGGCTTATTTCTTAAGAAACCAGTATTCAGTCATTGTCAATTATATGTTGCTATCTCCCGTGTCACTAACCAAAAAGGTTTAAAAATCTTAATTTGTGGCGAAGATGACGTGCCAAATAATCAAACCAATAATGTTGTATATAGGGAAGTGTTCAAAAATATATGATCTTTTCAGTTTAATTATATGTTTATATGTCTATT